TATTGTTAAATTTAAAATATTAACGCATCAGATCGATCGGTATTGTAAATTTAAAATATTGAATATTCACCTAAACTGTACAAAACTTTAAACCGATCGATCTGATGCGTGGTGATATTGAAAATCCTTTAATTAGGTTTATTCTAATAAAGAAACCATCACCATGCGCTGATCGAAGCGGGCAGTACTGTGTCAACTTGCATTCGATTTCATACAGGTAATCTTTAGCGCTCATTAGATATTCATCAGAATCCGAGAATACGTTAATGTTGCTTTCACCACAATCCGATTTTGAATCCGAGAAGAAGTCATCATCAAAGATGATCTCAACGTCTTCGTTAGGGATAAAGTTAGTGTTCATTGTTGGTTGTTGGTTGTTGGTTTATCGTATGATATGTTGTTATTAAACTTTAACATTTCTTCTCTCAAGATCAACTCACTTTTCTATAACTCTAAATTTTGTGAATATTTTGTGAAATGTTGTGAAAAAACTGACTTCGTTTAAAGAAGGTACCTACCTTGCGAATATTTAGCGCATATTTTGTGAATGTTGATGAAGGTAGGTGCCTTGATATTTAAAGTTTAAGTAAATCCTTCTCATATAATAGCTTTAGCTTGTCTACGGTTGATCGACTCTAACCATTTTTTGACAAGTCTTATAGACCGCATATTCCACAAAGGAGCCTTTTTTAGCTTCTTTTACTTAGAATGATTTAAATCAGATTTAGTTAACGTTAAATTCTTTAAAAAAACGTAATTTTCAAAAATTGTCCCCGTTAGGTTCCATTGCATGCTGCTTTGCAGGAACGGTTCTTTTGGGACTCATCGGGTAGGAATTCGTCACGATGTCAGACACCCAATGGCGTCGCGGCGGCTTCCAACCTGCGTACCAGATACCGAGAACTCGCACCGAACTCGCTACAAAATAGTGAGGCGATTACTGGAGATCAACCCGACAGCAAGCGCTTCGCCTACTTCTTCTGTTACCAGCAACAACTACGCATATGCAGCTCTGCAGTCCATCGAACGCAGGCTCAATTCGGGCTAGTTGATGATGACTTTAAGTGTCTGTCTAGGAACTACGAAACTAGTAAATAGAAGTGCCGTACGAGAATGTGGTCCCAAACGTCCTATAATCCTCCCAAGTCGGTTGACTCATCATTCACGTATCCAAACAGGGGCGCCAACGAGAGCGAAGGTCCAATCTACAGGAGGAATTATCGTATAAACAGAAGAACGGTGTATTTTTTAAAATAAAATTCAAACTTTAGGACCTTCTCTTACGGGAAAGCCGTGATCGTCCACACAGGAGAAATCAGATAATATCCATATCATCGCTGCTGGATCATCCAAAGTTTCGCGCTTTGCTTCACACGCACACTCACGAAAAGCTCGCTTCTTCGTTGTTTCACTTTCTCAGTTGAGCTGCTCGCTCCTACTACTAAATAGTACTAGAATAGTAGTAGAACCGTTGTGTTCCGATGGTCATGCTGTCTGCACCAGCAGCACTGCTTTATTTTCTCAAGCGTCCGGTCGTCAAGACACTGTGCGTGTTGAGCATAGTTGATCGACGATAGTCCTATTCGGGTATTATATTCATCTTGTAAGGTGATGATTTCAAACCACCGTCACTCTGATAACCTGAATCGAGTAGCACTATACATTAGTAGATTTTACAATATAAAACTAAAGGTTTGTCAAGGTAACGGGGCGGGGTGTTACCTCAAGTTTACCAACTGGCTCACAAAACTTAAATTCGTTATCAACGATCACTTCACTGTTCACGCTATTTAGTCGTAGTTCGAAAATAGTCATGCTTCTGTACTTTTTCGTGACACACTGCACAACCAAATTTACCCCAGAACCTTGAAACATCACAAATACTGCGGATTTTAACAGATCCCGTTGAGCCGAAGCCAATCATGGTCTTAGATTTCTGAAATATTGACTGTTGACGTCACTAGAACATTGTTAAATTTCAACTTTCCCCCTCAAAAATCGTACACCACATTTAGTCAGGGTCCGACTAAATAGCGTGTGCCAAGCCGCTTGAGTCCTGTGAGTCCAATTGAGAACTGATTGATTGAATGAAGCTACTCCTGGCATCTCCTAGCAGCTAGACTACTCATGTAGCGCCTTGAAGGCACCGTGTGTACCCAAAACAAGGGTTCAAACGAATCCAGAACGAAACTCAGATGAAGTCAACCCTTACGCCAGGGAGGACAGGCGCTAGTGTCGACAGGGAGCAGAAGGAGTTGTCACGTGAACGGATTGGGAGAAATTTTCGAGACCGTCGTCACGGACGATGGTCTCCGTGTGCGCTACGACGGCTTCGACAACCGGTTCACATGCTTGTGGACGGCGCTGCGTACGTGGTCGAGACTTCGGGCAACGCCACCACCTCTGCTGCTACCCAAACAGTCCGATGCCTCGAGTCTTTCCCCCCGTTCGAGTCCATCGTGTCCGCGTTGAATACCTTGAAGGCGGTACCGAGCTCGTTGGTCGACGACGAAGCGATTGACTGCTCGAGCGGCGCCTTGTTCCAGACTTCGACGCCGATCGGAGGTGTGGACTTTACCGTGTGCACCGCGGGGTACGGGTTTATTGCGTACGGAGGTGATATCACGATGGTTGTAGAGTACCTGGACGCCCCGCTGCGCAGCATCAGCGCGCCGGCACTGACAGATAGCAGCGCACATTGCGCCACCGTAGCGAAGGCAACTGCAGTCACGCCGATCACTGCAGCTTTGCTAACTGGGGATGCACATGCGTATACATGTCCTAGCGAGGATAAGTGCTAGTTTAATTAAAATGATATGATACATGTACAATGGTTTTCAAAACTTGGTGTTTGGTTCTCGCTGCGGCGCCGGAGAGTCGACTGACACATACATGAAGAAATTTCATTCTTCTCGTTGATGTAGCATTCAATGCTGAGAGCGTGCGCGCAGCTCCCTCCAAATGGCATGGCGATTGCCGAGACGAGAATTAGTCAGTGCATCCAGACTTGTCACGTGGAGCTTGTGCCGAACCGTCGATCCGATATGCTATCATTCCCAGGCTAGAGGCGGTGCCGTGCAATCCCGCGATCGATGATATCATTCGTAATAACACTGAAAGAGACATCAACGGAACATAATGGATTTCTGTCGAGGATTCGTTACAAAGTTCATGCACACGTACAACCTGTAAAGGCAATTGAGCGCCGCAGTACATGTAGTCCTGCAGCTACTAAAGCCAGCAAGATTCCAGAAAGCGTATAATGACAGTTAAATTTCCGATAGTGGCGATGACTAGATAATAATAACAAAATCTACCCGCCAGGATATATACCCCCTTAGCTGCAACTCTGTAAGCGATAACAATGTTGTTGCTTGCATGATGCACAGCAGTTATACACCATTTCCCGGTCAAGTTACAAGATTTACCAACCAAGGTGCAAATGATTTTTTGCGCTTTGCTCACTTTATTGGTGGTCATGCACAACGCCGCTAGCCGCCTGAGCGAGACTGTCGCGCTTGACACCTCGCGGCAGGCAACAGGCTGACACTGCAAAGCCTTGAGCGGCACGCGCCCGCGTAAGGCTAGTGCCGTTGCAATGCTTTGCCCTGCCTTCAGACCATTTTTGAGGTAAACTTTTTATTAAAGTCTAACTCGGTAACATGTGTCATTGGTCGATGAGAACAGCGTCGTGTATGTAAGGATGATGCAAGCAAACCACTCTCCGAACGTCTGTATAGTATGCGTGTGCCGCAGCAGCGCTTAACACTAGCATAGATAGTGGATACTGGCAACAACCGCGTCCAGGTAGCTCTAGGCTGCAGCCGTGGCTGCGTGAAATGAATGGAAGCTCCATCGCACCGATATATTACCGGTGGAAACGTATCGAAATGATTTGTGCGGAACTTATAAGCGGAGTCGAGAAGGCTCTCCAAATCCTGTGATATGATTGGGCACTCTTGTATGAGGTTGTCCACTACAAGCGGAGGAAGTCGGTACAGCAGAGATCCATGAATCCGGAGAAGCTGCAGTACAGAAAGTACTAATACAAACAATCACTGTTCATAACAGACTGTGATTTGCGGTCCTCGCGAACCGAATGTCGACCTTCAGATCAAATACGCTGGCTCACTGGCGGCGCGTAAACGCTAGAGCCACTTTCATTTATTCTAAACACAATGTGTGCTCAGAGCAAATTTGTCAACTTGTTCTCGCGATGTTAAAATGGAAAGTGAGCTTCAGACTCTCAGTCTACTCGAGCTACTGCTACGTGCATCTACCTTCTACACCTTTGCCAATCCAAGTTGGCAGCAGTGTAAAGCAAAACGGTGTGAAGTAACTTAAGTAACATCCAAAAATCGGGAAATAATTTCTGAAATTAGTATTTAGAGCAATGTGGATTTAGTGCAGAGCAAACTCAAATCACTGGTCAGTAACAGACTATCTCCGCCGGCAACATGCCCCAAGAGCCGAAGCATGGGCTTGCGGCCCGCACGCGTGTGCTCGTTGCACACCGAGAAGGGCGTGACTGGGTGCTGGTTGCCGACTGCAACGGCATCCCTCCCACTACTGCCCGCAACATCGTCCAGCGCCAAGCCGCTGATGTCAAGAAGAGAGGCGGCGCGCGGGCGGCGTGCACGAAGTGTACTCCAGAAATGGAGGAAGCTCTCGTGGGCTACCTGGAAGACAACTGCCAGTACACACTCGTGCAGATGCAGGAAATGCTTGCGTTCGACTTCAGGGTGCACATCAGCACTTCGTTGATCAGTAAGAAGCTTTGCGATAAGCTTTACACTGTTAAGCAGGTACGCCTTCAAGTTATTATGCTATCACTTTTACCATCTGTACTGTACTAAGTATGTTACCTGTGATAGGTTCGCGTAGAGCCCGAGACCTGCAATAATGCTGTAAATATCGAGAAGAGGAGGGTGTTTGGTGAAGCGTTGCTGAAGCATGAGCGGAACGGTGCTTTTATCGTGTATTATGACGAGACCAACTACTACTGTACAACCTGTACTGTAAGCGGACGCAAGGTCTGTCGCCGCTGCTATTCGTAGCGAGCCCATGGAGTATGGAACTTAGATGTTTGCTGTGGACTAAATCCACATTGGTCTGTACTAATCCTCGAAAAAATAAATTTTTGAAAAAAATATTTTTCGTATTTACGGGACTCTCGGCTTTGGGCAAAGGTGTAGTTTCAGAAATTATTTTCCGATTTTTGAATGTTACTTAAGTTACTTCACACCGTTTTGCTTTACACTGCTGCCAACTTGGATTGGCAAAGGTGTAGATCCCTGAGAAAACTGAACACAGGTTCCCGAAACTTCGATGACCAACATTCGCTTCAACCTCTGAGTTGCCTTTGTGTAGGACACACAAGCTGTGACATGGTGCAGCAGCTGTTCGTACAACATCACCACGGCTTCATTGCTCGACACTCCCCCTCAAGTTGACGTCTCCATGACACTCAACTTGCATCTTGGTCGACGGCTCCACTCGAACACACCAGACGCGTAAACCGCGGGGTCGGTAGCGGTTTCGTCAAGTAATCCGCAAGCTGCTGGGCTGAAGATACGTGGATCACTTCGATGGTCTCCTTCGACACATGATCACGGACGAAATGAGCGCGCAGGTCGATGAGCTTTGCTCTCGGTGTGTAGCCATGGTTGGTCGCCATACTAATCGCCGACTTGTTGTCCACGAAGACAGGAGTCGCACCAACTGACTTGAGCCCCATTTCTTCCAGTAGTTGCCGTAGCCACACGACTTCCTGCACCGCGAGAGCCATCGACATGTACTCCGCTTCAGCGGACGAGAGCGCCACCGTCTGCTGCAACTTGCTCTTGTAAATAACCAGTCCGCCGGCTACTTGAACGATGATTCCCGATGTAGAGCGTCGAGTCGCAACGTCACCACAATTCGCGTCACAGAACGCTCTAACACTGCATGTCTTCATCTTGGAGCGGCGAAACTTGATCCCACTGGTGCTCGCGCCTTTCAGGTACCGAAGAATGCGAATTGCTGCATTCCAGTGCTTCTCGCAGGGCTGCTCCAGGTAGCGAGAAAGGACACCAACGGCGACCGAGATATCGGGGCGTGTGGCATTTGCCACATACAAAAGCGAGCCGATGAGTTCGCGAAATGGCTTCACTCCAGCGATGACTGGTCCGTCTTCAACATGCAGATCTTGGTCGAGTACTGTCGGGTTGCGCGGGGTAAGCGTCATCCTGCCGAAACTTTTCAACCATCCGCTCAATAAACTGCTTCTGTCCCAGCCAAAGCTCCCCCTTTTCCTTGTCATACTTCACCTCCATTCCGAACACGTAGCGAACATCTCCGAGGGCCTTCACGGTGAAATGCTGCCCAAGTTCCCGGCGAACATCTTCGGCGTCCTCCTCATGCAGGCAGCCAACAAGCAAGTCGTCTACGTACAGAACGACGAAAACTGGCGCGCGTCCACCTTGCTTCACAAAGAGACAAGGGTCAGCGGCACGCTGGGTGAAGCCGGCCTTGCGAAAGACGTCCCGAATAGTACGGTACCACACTGCAGCAGCCTGTTTCAATCCGTAGAGGCTTCGACGTAGTTGGCAAACCAAATCCGCAGCAACCTTCATTCCGGCAGGCACTGTCATGTAGACCTTCTCGCTAAGATCTCCATTCAGAAATGCCGTTTCGATATCGTACTGCTTCACGTAGTAGTTCAAGCTGCAGCACACAGCAAGAAACGTGCGGACCGTGTTCATACTCGCGACCGGGGAGTAGGTGTCGGTGCAGTCAACGCCGAACGTCTGGAGGCATCCAAGAGCAACAAGCCTCGCCTTGAACCGGACAATAGCACCATTTTCATCACGTTTGATTGCGAATACCCACTTGTGGCCGATCACTTTGGCACCAGGCGGCTTCCGTACGAGGTCCCACGTGTGGTTACGAAAGTGCGCTCGTAGTTCAGCTCGGATGGCCTTCTTCCACTGCTCGTGCTCCGGGGACTCAACCGCCTCACGATAATTACGAGGAAGCTCAACTGCAGCAAGAGCGATCTCGTAGCCATCATCAACACGCTGTCGCTTGGAGTCCGGCTCCAGTTCATCACTAGACGAAGTCTCGGCGTTGTCGACCTCAGTTGTGGCAGGGCCATTCTCGAGTAGGGCAGGCGCATTTACGTCAGTGCTGTACCGGCTGGTGTACCATTAGTGTCCGATGCGGGCAGCGTAGCTTGCGACGGTTGTAGCGACTCGATATTCGGGAGAATGCGGGGGAGATGGTCCATCCTTGCCATCCGTGGTCGCGACCCGCCAGTGAACACTACCCGCCAGTGAACACTAGCTGCTCCCATCTCTCGACAATGGGATGATGCTAGAAGTCGAAGACGCCCTTGGAGCTGCGAGGAGCGACCTCACCTGTGTTGCGGGGGCCGATTCCAGTGGCTGATGAAGTCTCTCGCTGCCGGTACCACTGCGTGGCGCGATCTCGGCGGGCTGCACAGGCACGAGACTCTCATCACGTCTAGCTTGGTCTACCTCCATGTCCTCCGAGTCGCCACTGACCACCTGCGCGTCACTTGATCCATCCATGGGAACATCCGTATCACCACTAGGGGCTGGTGAAGGAGTTGGTGGAAGACCACCAGTGTCCTCAGCATCAACATTAGGCCAGTGCGCGCCGCAGAGTCCGCCACTTGCTTGCATGGGCAGATTGTAGTGAGTTGCAGGGGGGTTCTCGTCAAGTTGAAGCGTCCGCGATGTTACCACACGTTCTGCCTCCAGGTCCCAGACGCGGTAAGCCTTGGCGGTGTCGGAGTACCCGAGGAAAATGCAGCGATGGGCCTTTGCGTCTCACTTCGACCTCTTCACTTTCTCGACGTGGACGAAACCGCGCGAACCAAACACACGCAGGTGGGATAGATCCGGCCGCTTGCCGTAGAAAACCTCGAACGGCGAAACCGATGTCCTCGCAGTGTTCGGCAGCCGATTGATTGTGTAGACGGCAGCGTTTACAGCTTCACCCCACCACTCCAGGTCAAGTCCCATGTAGTGCACCATGGACCTGGCCATCTCGACGATCGTTCTGTTCATTCTTTCAGCGAGGCCATTCTGTTGCGGGCTGTAGGGTGCACTCGTTTGCTGGACGATACCATACGAACTGCAGAAGCTGCGGAACCGCTTGTTGATGTACTCCGTGCCGTTGTCACTGCGTAGGCACTTCACGCGCGCCCCAGTCTGCATTTCGACGAGGTTCTTGAACTCCACAAAACACGTGAACACTTGAGTCTTCGACGGCAGCAGGAATACATGCACGTACCGCGAAAAATCATCAATGAAGGTAACGATATACCGAGCGCCGCCTTTTGACGCCTGTTGCATTGGTCCCATCACGTCCGAGTGAATCAATTCCAGCACTTCCGTTGTCTTCACAGAACTTCCTGATCGGTGTGGGAACGCGCTCACAGCCAGCTTCCCCATCGCACATCCTGCGCAAACATCATTCTTGTCCGGAGTTAGCGTTCACCACCGGCACTCCGTCCACTGCACGCGCCACGCTTGGCATACGCGACGCACCGATGTGTCCAAGCCGAGCGTGCCACAGCTGTGCGTCCACGCACCCAGTCGATGCTGCAGCAACCTCCTTGACAGCTTCTTCTCCCCCAGACACACACTGTGCAGGCCATGGGAAGAGCTTTCCTTCCTTGTGCACGCGCGCGACCAGTCTTCCCCCGAGGCGAATGTCACAGTGTCGATTTTGGAATAAAACCTCGGCGCCCTTGGCAACCAGTGCAGCAATGGAGAGTAGCTTGCGGTCCAGTTGCGGCACGAAGAGCACATCCGTCAGCTTCACCATTTGGGAACCACCAATCGAAAAACGCACCGAGCCGACTCCACGCACCTGCAGTTGCTGGCCATTAGCCACGGTCACCGTCATCATCGAGTCCAGTGCCCGATACTCACAAAACTCATCACGGTCAAAGCTCATGTGTGAGCTTGCCCCGCTATCCAGGAGCCAGCATGCAGATCAGTCGTTACCGCTGACGGAGAACACAAACTCCCCAGTATTGCCTCCACCACTGCTATCCGCCTGAGGGCAGTCAGCTTGCTTGTGCCCGACTTGATTACACTCAAAGCAGCGCCCATTGAAACCCTTGTTGTTGCGCTCCCGACCACGTGACTGGTGGCGTTGCTGGCCATGCTGCTGGCCATGCTGCTGGCCACGCTGCTGGCCATGACTGCTTCCTCGACGATCACGAGCATCTTGATTCCGCCCACCACTGGGACGTCGACCATCATCTTGACCTCGATTGTTGCGCGGTCCATGCGCGACCGCCTTGAACACCTCTTCTTGTCTCTCCCGCTTCTTGATCGTCTCGTACTCGCACCGTAGCATCTCCTTCGCGTCGAGCAGCGTTACCGATCCGTGTGCCTCGATAATCTTGATCATTCCATCGTACTCGGCGGGCAGGCTCCCCAGTAGAATCACCAACTTCTCGCCCTCCGTGATCGTTTCACCCACTGCAGAGAGCCGCAGGCACAAGTCCTCAAAACGCATGAGGTGGTCCATCAAATTCTCACCCGGTGCCATCTCGAAGCCGTGTAGCTCCTTCCGCAGCTGAACTTGATTGTGCAGATTCTTCTGCACGAAGAACGTCCGCAGTGTCTCCCATGCCTCTCGCGCGGACTTGGCTTCTCTCACCATGGCTTGGTAGTTAGGGCTGAGCAGCTGGACCAGGATCCCGAGCGCCTTCATGTCAGAGGCTTCCCATTCAGCGTGCGTGGCTCCATCGCGTTCTCTGACTTGACTTGGACATGGCTCAGGAGATTCTTGCGTGCCAACGCCATCCGGGCGTTAAACTCCCACAGGAAGTAGTTGTCGTCTTGTAGCACGTCGTTAGGGCCGAGCGTCTTTGGGCTCATAACCAAACACAATGTGTGCTCAGAGCAAATTTGTCAACTTGTTCTCGCGATGTTAAAATGGAAAGTGAGCTTCAGACTCTCAGTCTACTCAAGCTACTGCTACGTGCATCTACCTTGAGACGACGGCAAACAAAATGTTACTTATCAACCTAAGTACGAATCGCGATTTAGGCGCATAATTGGAAAGAGCCCCTCCCGAGCTTCTGGTATGAAGAAACGACCGAGAACGAGACCGTCAAAAAATATATGTCCGACTTCAACCCCGAAAGGGAAATTTTTTTTTTTTGATGAACTGGTGTAAAATTAGTCAGCGAATCCGACAATGTTGTCCGTTTTAGCTAATTCGAAGCCTAACAGTGTTAGAATCTCACTTTTGTGCCGTAACTTCAAATCACCAGGGGTATATTTTTGAATTTGTTTTAGAAAATTTGATATCTGGATGTAAGTAATATTTTGAATGAACTGTGGACATAAGTATCATAATGATCGACTACAACCTTGGGCTGCCTATTCTTGCTCAGCAGGCAGATCCGCAGTAGCTTTGTGCTTCTTGTTCTTTTGCGTCTTCTTTGCTGCAGTAGCCCTCTTCTTTGCTGGGTTATTTTTCGTCGCAACAGCCTCCGTGATACCACGCTGGTCTTGGTTAGCCTTAGCCGCCACGGCCATTGCCGCGCGATGCTCACGTCGTGCTTGTTTCCGTGACTTGGCATCTTCTCCTTCCTGCTCGCTAGGCTTGGCGTAGAGGGGATCGCTCTGAAATTCAGCAGGAACGTAGGGCTTGATGTTGTGGTACATCTGCGCAATTTTCTCGGTGTTGCGGACAGGAGGGGACAGCGTCTCGATATGGTCCGTCATCATCCGCTGCACCTTCTCCTTCGTGGTGAAGATCCCGTCAAATCGACGGCTCAAACTAATCTCTACAAGTTCGCTCTCGGGGCCTTTCTTGCAGACAACGACGCCCGGCTGCGATGCGTCCATCGTGAAAATCTGGAACTTCTGGATGCCGTCAAGTCGTTTGTACAATTCGGTGAGAATAGGTTTGTAGGACTTGAACGCTGAGCTCCCGCGAGGCAGATGCACCGTGATTGAGCTCTTGGACGCCGAACTAACAGCCTCTACGAGATGGTCCATCGTCCAACAATCCACTTTGGCCACGTGCTTGCGGATGTGGCCGAAACCACGGTCACAGGAGTTCTTCGTGTGCCTTTTGACAAAGAACTTGTAGTCCACGTGCTGTAGAGCTCCCATGTGTACTTGCGCCAATAGAAACTTGATCACGTAGTTGTTTTTGTTCTGCCCTGAGCAGTTGTCGGCGTACACGGTCAGCCGAGTCTTCCCCGCCGGTATGATCTTGGTGCTGATGAAATGAGCCAGCATGGAGTTAATCTGGTCGCTCCCTTTACCGCTCGAAGTCTCGTCGTACAGATAGTTGGTTTGGATTCCTTCGTTCTCGTAAAAGATGCCGAAGCAGCTCACAGAGACCAGCGAGCAAAAGTACCACTGCGAGGGGGTGTTTGACACGCTCGGAAGTGTCAAGTTCTGGGGAAAATCCATCACGATGACAGCGTGGTTGACATCGGTAGAAGTCTTGTCCGTCTTGTACTCCGGCCTGTCAGCCATCAAACAAAATGTTACTAACATCCAGGTAAATCTGCCGAGTAAATCAAAATGCTACTTATGTCCGTATACAAAACTTACCGCATTCGACGCGCAGATTCTGTGTGCCACCCCAGCGCCTCCGTCGTGTCACTGGTTACGCCGCCGCGCATTCCAGCGTGGTAAATGGAGCAGACGTCGCACACGTTACTACGTGGCGACTGAATTCGGATGGTTGGACAGTAAAGCGTCAAAAGCTTCCTCATTGTCGACCGAGCTGGTTCACGGACGCGCAAGCCCCCGCAACAAACTTGTGCCTTTCGTCGTAGATGGTATCCCAGGTAAAGTGCGCTGGTAGTAACGTGTACATCTCGCTGCTGTAGTATTTCTGCGTAGTTCCGTCTTTCTTCTTCTGCATCCGCACTCAAACCGGCACAACCTCGCCGTCCTCCTCGGCAAACGACTGGAACCATTTCACCAGCCAAACAACGTTCACTTGAGGTGCATGCGTGTTGAGCCGGTTACCATGCGCCTTGATCGACATGTTACCGTCTCGGATGCGCATCTTGCAGCGCTGCAAGGTAATGGGGACTACTCCATAGCAGAGCGCGAAAGTCGGTCGGCACACATGACCTACGTAGGGGAGGATGTACGGAAACTTCTCACGGTCACCCCGTCCTCTCTTACGCTCAACCGTGGGGGTCTGCATCAACACAGCCAGGAGCGTGTACAAGCTCGTGGTGTGCTCTTGCTTCGTCATCTGGTCCAGCGAGCACAGCAAGAACTCCAACTCACGAGCCTTGCCCTTGACGCACTCGTTCTCACACGCGTCCGCGTGAATCACCTCAGTCACACGGGCTCGAGGACTCGCGTCATTCAAATGATACTAACATCCTCTTCATCTTCGGCTTCACTGCTCGCGCTCTCTGCTGTGAGCGGTTCCTCGTCGTCGCTAGGCGACGCCTCCGAATCAGGCGTAAAGTCGTCGTCGCTGCTGTCCTCGTTCACCTCACTCTCACTGGTAGCAGTGGGATCGACACCACAGACATAATCGTCGGCAGAATCAGGCTCTTCGTCTGCTTCGCGACGCCGAGCAGCAAGGGGTGCCGTGGCCAACAGAGTCAGTGCCGTGGAGGGGGACGTTGTGGCCGGCGGAGTCAGCGCCTGGGAGGGCGATGTCGTGGCTGGCGGACCCGACGTCGCGGCTGGCGGACTCGGAGCCGTGGCTGGCGGGCTTGGCGCCGAGGTGGCCGGTGGCGAGGCTGAGAGAGGCAGCGCTGGAGGTTGCGCAGGCTGCGCAGTTGGCGCTGCAGCGCGCGAGGTCGGTGCTGTCGGCGTCGTGGGTGGTGTCTGCATGGCTGTAGGTAGTGGTCCGAGTGGCTTTTCGAAATGGTATCCGTCCCCTTCAAATTTTTGAAAATCAAAACTCCTCGTTTTCTCACGACTTCGTTTAGTTACGATTTTGAACCTGGCCTCTTTTAAGGCGATTATCTCGATATCTCTAAATTTTGTTGCCGTTGTCTCCCTTCTAGATCCCTGAGAAAACTGATCACAGGTTCCCGAAACTTCGATGACCAACATTCGCTTCAACCTCCGAGTTGCCTTTGTGTAGGACACACAAGCTGTAACATGGTGCAGCAGCTGTTCGTACAACATCACCACGGCTTTATCAAAACGCTGCACGCAGTTTTCGGCCTTGCCTCCGTGCTAACGTGCACATTGGCAGTCCAAGCATCGCTCGATACCCCGGTCACCGCAGCCCAAGACAATGCTCACGCTATACTGAGTGATCCGATTGGCAACATCCACACACCAAGAGAGTTGAAGGCTTCGGTTGGCATGAAGGCGGCAGCCAAGTGTTCGTGCATGATCACGCCGCGCCCTTGAGTCTTCTTTCACGGTCTCGGCGGCAAAAATGAGGAGGCGGAATTGCAGGATTCGCCCAAGAAGACCAGCGGCAAGATGGGGAACATCAACGGTCATGCGCCGTGCTGCTCGACCGTCAAGTACGCGATTCTCAACACGATCGACTACGGCTGGACGAACGAGACGCTGCAGAACAAGTTCTGCGACCACAGTCTGTCGATGAGCCCCTCCAGCGACCTGGCGTCGCGCACAATCAAAGACATCATTGTGCTGACGCACTCGATGGGCGGCCTCACGATGGCCGGAGCTCTGGCCAACGGACGATGCAGCTTTGGCGATAACGCCTTGTGGGTGAGCATGAGCGCCCCGATGATGGGGAGTATGGCCGGAGACTACAGCCAGGACCTCTGCAATGGTGACGGCACGGCCAATATAGTCCCAGACTTGCTGGAGCTCATCGGAGAGTGCCCCATATCCCTCGTTCGCAAGTCGATTTCGTACCAGAACGAGAAGTACAGTACTCCGGAGCTAAACGCGGCGTACGTTGCTGCTCAAGAGGCTTACCGAGGGAACGTGAGTGCCGCCATGTGCAGCAAAAACTACCATGGCGTCGTCTCGCAGTACCAGATCCAGAGTGTGCTCGGAGGAGAGGTGATCCCGCACAAGTCGCCGCAGAATGACAGACTCGTCGAGTTCCAGAGCTGCCTGGGAGGGCTTTCGGAGGGCTTATTTGGCAACAGCTACCTTGACCGGTTCTACTCGCCGAAGCTAAATCACGCAGACACGGCGTTTTTGACGCATGATGGAGTCTTCAAGGACAAACAGAAGCCATTTAGCTGGTTGGAGTGTTTATTCGGGATCGAAAACTGAGCGGTACTTCCTAGTAATAAACCAAACACCTGAAGTGCGGTGCAGTCTGATGTAATGCTGTTCTTCCTCACCTTGTTCTTTGTAAGTAGTACACATACAAATACCGATGACTCGAGCCACTCGACTCGAATCGAGTGCCGCTTTGGGTACAAAAATGACGAATATAATGCCGTACTTAGTATTTACATAATGGTAGTAATGAAAGAACGAAGGTGGCAGTATTTTATGAAACCTTTCTCTTTGTGGACCGTAATACAAGCCGCGCTTTCGCGGAGTTGCAAACATTTTTTTGTGGCATGTTATCAACTTGGTAAATTTCCAGCACAGAGCGACATTTTCCCAGCAAACTTGTTAGAAAGGAGCAGCCTCGTCCAGCCTCTTGATGAAATTGTACTCATTGAAAGGCACCTGGGCCTTGCCAAAGTCCGCCGTACTGAGCGTCGCTCGAGCAGCATCAGTCATTTGATCCCAGATGATTAAGCTTTGAGGACTCCCCACTTTTTCCAGAGTGCAGTCGATGTGGGGGAAAGTGTCGAGAGTTCGAATCAAATTCGGCGTGAATCCGTTGATGAAGCATTCAGCAGGAGCTGGAGCTTTACCGATATATTCGCTGTTGCCGCCTGACGCTGCGATTCCCAGCAGCAACGACGTCTCCACTTCCGGGTTGTCGATCCACAGGATGACACTTGCCTGGTCATGGCGCCGAGATGCCAACCCCGCGAAGAATTCGGGAAGTAGAAGGCGAACATGATGGCGTACCGATTGTTGTGTCATGTAGCCCTCCCGTATACTTGGGAGCCCGTCGGGGGGTCTGTGCACGCCGAAGACCCCTTCGACCCCTTTAGCCCACCCGTGATATATCCGGCAGCATCAACCGCAGGGTAGGGCATACACCCTCCGTCAAAGAAGATGCTCGGTTTGAACTTGGCTCCGACCTTCTCCGAAATTGTCACCGGTTCAGGTTGAGGGAACGGCACTACTGCATCGTGGTTGACTTCTTTAGCGTCGATCACCAGGAGGGATGTACTGCAACTGTTAATAGAGCTCGGTAATTCATCGGTTTTAACGCGGGTGGGTGGGTGGCTTGAGCGTGGCGAGAGGAATTCGGCAATGGGCTCCGCTTCCAATGCCAATGCTTCAGTACACATAAAACAACTCCAGGAGGCAAGTCTTTCCCACTTCGTCAAACCTGCGACAGTAGACACGTTAACTGTATGCAATGGCGACAGATCAATGCGCTTCTGTTATGATTAATGGGTCAACACTGATCGCGAATCTGCTGCTGCCGCCGTTGTTGAGTATATCGCGCAGATTCTAGTACCGGTAGCGAGCAAGATGGTTATCGGGTTCCAACCCGATAGTGTTGATGATTAATCGAGAAACTCGCTCTTTCGGCGCTATTCCTTCGGAATACAAGTTTATAGTCCCGAAAGAGCAAAAATTTGCGTCCCCAAACCAAGGAATATTGTACAGAAGCTCGCCATAAATGTCAGAACCATAGTTGAAGTTGTTATGTCGCCCGAATGTTGAAGTTGCAATGTCGCGCAACATTATGTTGCTCGATTGGCGCGTACGTCAGCATGGATGCGACCAAGGGTGGTCATATAGAAGTGTGGGCCCCTACTGGTTGGCAAGCCATGGCATCGCCATGCTGCATGTCGTGCGCCTAGGGCCTCGAGGATCAAAGTCATTTTCATATCCGACCGCCATGCTGTACTTCTTGACGCTAACCCAGCGCTGCAACTTGGCCTGCACGTACTGCGGGTCGTCCGAGGAGCTGGACATCGAGGACTTGATCGACCCTCTCGACTGCAAGTACAAGGTGGACGCTCTGGACAAGCTCACGACCCCCCTCAAGAACGAACAGGAGCCCTTCGCTATCTGCTTCTATGGCGGCGAGCCGCTGCTGCAGCTGCGCCAGATCAAGAAGGTGCTAGCCCAGCACGAGGGCAGTAACACCAAATTCGTGCTGCAGACCAACGGCACCAAGCTCAACCGCACGCCCACTGCGGTGGTGAACAAGATGGACACGATCTTGATCTCAGTGGATGGAGGTGAGAAGGTCACGGACACCAACCGTGGGGCGGGGACTTGGCGCCAAGCCATCGACAACGGATACCTGATCCGCAAGAATGGCTTCAAGGGCGATTTGATCGCCCGGATGACGGTGAGCCACGTGAGCGGCGACATCTACCAGGATGTCAAGGACCTATTCGATCTCGGCATCTTCGACCACGTGCACTGGCAGCTGGACGCGCAGTGGAGCACCCCCATGTACGCGGGGTATGAAGACCGCGGCGGCTTCCTCCATTGGCGCGACGAAGTGTACAATCCGTCGATCACCAAGCTGGCCACGTACTTCCGTGGCACCCTCCTGAACGAGAAGAAGCTGCTGGGGATTGCCCCCTTCCTGCCGCTGTTGCATACGCTCATTACGGGCGAGAAGGCGACGCTGCGGTGCGGATCGGGTCGTGACGCGTTCAACGTGCGAACTGGAGGGGGCATCTCGGCCTGCCCCATCGCTCCGGACAGCGACCTGCAGTACGATCTGGCCCACATCAGCGACGCAGACTTCACCCCGGAGAAGGTGCGCGACTCGGTCAAGATCGGAGGCTTGTGCTTGAGCTGCGATGCGAAGGACATCTGTGGCGGGCGGTGCCTGTACGCGAACAAGACGATGTGGTGGGGCGAGGAAGGCTTCCTCGCCGTGTGCCAGACCGTCAAGCACCTGATCCAGTGCATGCGCGATATCCAGTCGGACGTGGAGAGCGCCATCGCGCAGGGTATCATCGAGTTGGAGGATCTCCAGTATCCGAAGTACAACAACTCGGTGGAGGTGATCCCGTAAAGGACTCAGCCTCCGTGCATGAAGTCCATCCTACTTGGTGCTGTGCTGGGTTAAAGATATATAATGAAGCGAGAAAACCACTTCTTATCATTGCGTAGTTTCTTTTTTATTGTTCAGGTAGAAATGCATCTACGAACACGTGCCGATACCCACTGCTAGCCCTCTCTGCGTGCCACCAAGCCTATCGACTCGACTCGATGGGCTAACGACTCGATTTCGTGCCAGAAATGCGCTGAGAGCTAGTTTTACGTAGCTGAGAAGATGAGTGACCGGCAGCAGTCCTGGTTGGCAAAAGATGAATACAGCTGGAAGATACTTGCCTACAACGTCGGGGCCGATCGGCTGAGCATTTTTTTTAACGGTTGCCAGGCTGCTCGATCGTCGGTCCGCCCTACGGAGGCTATCCAAGACAAAAAAATTGTGGGCGACTTCAACATGGCTTCGTTTTGCATGAATGCCTGCTTGTGGAGAAGCTGCCGTCTGAGCTCCAGGTGGCCAAAAAAGGAATTGCTCAGAATTTTGCTGTCAGTGGCTGGTTATGATCCCTGTGAGCTCCTTGAAACATTCTGCTCGACGGAGGTTGCCTAAAGCAACCTCCGTCGCTAACTTGACAATTGCGTTGCTGCCTTGGTGTTTGCAACGTCTGTTTCTGCTTAGTAATGAGGCACAGTGCCCCCTCCAGCCTCCGAGCCGCCATTAGGATCGCGATCCGAAAGCGATGGCCAGGAAACTTCCGTCTTATTCCAGCAGAAGTGATCCCACCGCGGCGAGTCACCGACCGCTCAGCTCAACCAGCTCAACGAGATGCCAGCAAATCAAGTCTGTCCAAGTCCTCCTAGGAGCAGCCATCGGGCACTGCTCAAAGGGCTGCCCGACGGGCAGCCCTTTGAGCATATTTTTGCGCCCTGGACCATGTCGCGGCCGTTCCCCGCCGCTGGCTCCTTCCGGCCCAATAATTGCGCGGTGCGCGCTTGCAATTATTTATTGCCTCTGCGGCTGGAGAGCTTCACAGCCAGCCAGCCAGCGGCAACCAGCGGCGGCACCACGACAAGACCGCAGGCCAAGTCGTCGACGAAGCGGCGACCGACGGCATCGTCACTTCTGCAGGATGCGCCGTCATCGAGCTTCGAATCCGTACTTGATTCGGTATCCTAGTTTCATGCTCCATCGAAGTTCCACTGCCAGCTTGATCTCTATACACCTCTCAAACAGCCTTCGACCATAGTCTCCGTATCATGCCCTTACAGAGTACGACCTGCGCTTGCAAGCCGGCGGTTTTCATCATTAGCCCATTCCTAAAACCACCACCAGCATCAACAGGAAGAAACCCCGAGCCATCTCCAGCCATGAAGCGTCGGCCGCTGCGCGCCGCCGGCGGCTTCGGGCTCTACGCGCTGTGCATCTGCCTGTCCACCATCGCGCTGCAATCTCTGACCGCGCCGTCGCCCGCGCCGTCCTCTACCACCTCCTTCCTCAGCGTGCACTCGCTCCTCTGGACGCAGCCGCCGCCGCTCTCGGCCGCCGACTTGCGGCTGCGCAACCTGTCGGTGCACCGCGTGCGCTACGTGGATGACGCAGACGCAGCAGCAATGGCCGAAGAGCAACAGGAGCAGGAGAAGGCGGCCACGGGCGTCCGCAAGGCGCTGACCGACTTCCTGACCGCGAGACCGCGCGTCAACGAAGTGTCCAGCGTCGTGGTCACGTGGGAGGACCACCCGCTCGCAGCTCACGCACGGGACAAGGACGCGCGGCTGGAGGAAGAGCAGGAGGAGGAGGAGGAAGAAGACGCAGCAGTGGAGGCCGCCCCCTCCGAGTCGTACTCGTACGAGGTGCAGATTTGGGTCACCGGGTGGGGGTTGGACGCACTCTGGAACCCAGCCAACAGGAGAGTGACCACAAGGGACCCGTTCCTCGTACTGGTGGACTTGCCGCGGGAGCATGAGATGGGCTTCCGAGTCAGGATGAAGGCCAAGCAGACCAAGCGGTCGCTGCTCGGCTTCCTGCTGCCAATGGGATTCTTCTCCACCGAGACAGACGGACCCTGGAGCGAGAGCGCGATGCTGTCCCCGACGAGGGATGACGAGCTTGAAGCTATTGTTACGTCCTTGGCGAGTAACAAGCCGCTGCTGCTGCTATTGGCGCTGTGTATCGGCTCGAGCTGCCTTGTGGTGGCGCAGCTGTATTTCAGACGGAGACTGGCGGTCGCTCGACAGCGCAAGCTGCTCAAAATGCAGTCGAGTCGGCGGTCGTCATCGGAGAAGGACTTTGCCGCCAAGGACGGGAGCGCTGCGAGTGAGGCGACGGACAGCAGCAGTGAGGACGGCGGCAAGTCGGTGCAGGAGCTGGAGCACGAGATCCGCGACCTCCGCCAGGAGCTGGCGGACTCGGAGGACGAGGTGCGGCAGCTCATGCTGCTCAGCGGCTACGGCATCGAGACGCTGGCGCCGCACGAGCTGGAGCAGCTGGAGCGCGAGCTCAAGCACACGCTCAAGCGCATCCACCACCTCAAGAAGCACGGAGCGGCAGCGGCTGCACCGGAACCGGAGATGAGCAAGACGACCCGTCAATCGCACGTGGCCGAGCAGCGGGAGAGGAGAAGGCACAAGCAGCGAGACGCCCTCCCGATGAGCCCCATCTACGAGCACCGGTCGTTTTGACACCGCCGTGCCATTTTTATTTATCTTTATGAACCTGCGCTCTGCTGCAAGCAGCGGGCTGCAACACAACAACCTAGGGACCCCCTACCACTGAGGGTGTACTGCCAGATAAACTTCAAAGAGAGACCCTCGACGTGTAGCCATGTCAATTGAATGCGTCCACCAGGACCTTTTGTCACTTAAATTGAGGCGACATCCCAACGACATCTTCCATGAGGGTCCTTCACACCCATGTAAGCACTCGCCTCAAGTGTCCTGCTTGCTGCTTGGTGTCCACGATGTCATCACGACGTCGACGTCACATTCGGTGTGGCGCACACCATCGACGTGGTCCGCACGATTTCAGTAGTCAAACCAACCGCCGGAACTTCACCAGCAGCTCCGTTAGCGATGCCAATGCGCGACGTGGCTCTGGGCGCGCTGTCGGGCGCGTTGCTGTCCGTGTTCGTCTCTCAGGTGGTGCTCCCTCGCCTCCGCACTCGCCAGCTGCGCGCGCAGGCCTCCAATGGCACCGTGTACCTCGTGGGCGCCGGTCCGGGCGACCCGGAGCTGCTGACGCTCAAGGCGCGTCGGCTGCTGGCCAGCGCGACGGTCGTGGTGGTGGACGACCTCGTGGGGCCCGAAGTGTACGCGCTGATCCCCAAGGACTGCGAGATCATCTACGTGGGGAAGCGCGGGGGCAAGAAGGACTCGGCCAAGCAGGTGGACATCGACGCCATCCTGGTGAGCAAGTGTCGGCTCGGCCACATTGTCGTCCGCCTCAAGGGAGGGGACCCCATGGTCTTCGGCCGCGTGCACTCGGAGATCCGGGCGCTGGTACGGGCGCAGTGCAAGTTCGAGGTGGTGCCGGGCATCTCGTCGGCGTTGGCGGTGCCCGCCACGGCCAACATCCCGGTGACGCACAAGACGCTGAGCACCAACTTCGTGGTCATCTCGGGCCACAAACCGGCGGAGATGGACTTTGAAACGCTGGCCAAGGTTGAGACGATCGTGCTGCTGATGGCTACGAGGACGATCGGGAGTATCTGTGAGAGTTTGGTCGAGAGCGGGAAAGACAAGGACACCCCCGTGGCGCTGATTCACTCGGGCACGAACCCGGACCAGGTGCTGCTGCTGGGCACGTTAGAGGACATTGCCGCCAAGACGGAGGGGAAGAAGTACTCGCCGGCGATTATCGTTATCGGCCAGGTGGCCAAGTACGGAGACCTGAAGGCGTACCTTGATGAATCGGACGATGAACCGGTCAACACGGACGTGTGAAGAGGTTAAGAAAAAAATAAAGCGGCAAGATTGAGCTGGGAAATATGAACATGCTTCGAAGATATTACTCTCACTGGGGTCCAAACATGGGGCGTACAGCATCAGCACTATTTACCCTGTGTGCAGCTTAGCGGCGCACGATGTCCAGCAGCTCGACCTCGAACACCAGGTCGGCATCAGGGGGGATGACGCCACCAGCGCCGGCCTTGCCGTAGCCCTTGGTCGACGGGATGTTGAGCGTCGCCTTCATACCCTTGCTCATGCGCATGACGCCCTCATCCCAGCCGCGTATGACCTGGCCGACGTCGATCTGGAACTGGAACGGCTGGCCGCGGTCGCGCGACGAGTCGAACACCTTGCCGTCCGCAGCGAGCTTGCCAGTGTAGTGCATGACCATGGTGTCTCCGCGGTTGGGGAACGTGACGTTGTCGCCCTCCTCGATCACCTCGGGCAGGACAAGGCGCTCCTCCACGTGCAGCTCGGAGTGCAGCTCGTGGTCCACCACCTCCAGCGTCACATTCAGCGACTGGCCGGCGTACGGGTGCGCCAGGTCGATGTCCATGGTGTCCTCAGTCAGCTTGACAATAACGGCACGCTCACCGCCCGCCAGCTCCAGCACCTGTCCAACGGCGAGCATCTCGCGCTCCTTCTCGGGCAGGTTCATCTCCTTGAGCGGCACCGACAGGATCTGCTTCTCGGCGCCGAAAGCCTGGGCCGGTTCGATCTCCACCGTCTTGGACTCGCCCTTGGCCATGCCCTGCACGGCGTCCTCCACGCCGGGGAGCACCTGGCCGCTGCCCACGATGAACTTGAGCGGGGCGCCCTCCTTGGTCGTGGGTAGGGACTCGCCGCCCGACAGCGTGCCCTCCATGTGCAGCGACACGCGGTCGCCTACGGCCACCACGCGGCCACCACCCTGCGTGCTGAAGGCGGCAGCAGTGCTGGGATACAGCGACGGAAACGCAACGCTCTGCAGGCCACGAGGGGCAGCAGCCATGGGACGCGCCTGCGTCAGCGCCAGCAACGAACGGGACTGGCGACGAGCTGCGGAGATTGGCACAATTGTGTAGCGTTAGCTATGGGAAATAAAGAGGAGCAGCAGCAGGAGGACGCACCGATGGAACGCGCGTTCTGGCGGGCCGCGCGGGCCACGAGGGTCGGGAAGCGCTTGGGGAGCATCGTGGTGGACTTGGCTCCGCTAATGATTTTGTGTGGCGCTTGTGTGCGGAGACCTGTGTGTGTGACACACATCAGGACTGAAAGTTCAAGTGTCAAAACACGGTGGTATGGTGCTTCATTCATTGATGGACGTTATCATGTGGAAGTTCACGACGCAGCAGACTGTTTAGCGAGGGGATACATGTAAAGCAATACCCACGAACACGGAGAGGTCGCATCGTACGCACTTGTTTCTCTTGTCCGATCCTGCGGCCCTGGATGGATTTACGGCGTGGCTCGCGGTCTGCAAGTACTGTACTTGCTCGAATAGATAGGTGCGACGAGGCAGTTCCTGCCCACGGCACTCGCTGCACTTGCACGCCTTCTCACAACAGAGTATAGGCTCATCTAAATCTCAAAGCGGTGCGCTGCCGAGAGCTGGTCATGCGGGACTGCAGTGCTATAGAAATCTTGCGCCGTCATGGTTTTTGTGTCTGTGGTCGTGGCTGTCTGGTTCGAGAGTCCGTGGACCGGGATCTCGTCCTCCAAGATTAACTGCTGCAGCGAGTCATGAGACACGGCTCCAGGAGCTGCCGGGCCTGCGCTGTTCACAGCGTCGTAAGTTGCAGCCGCCACCGCGCTATCTGCCTTGCCCTCCTCGCCCAAGTCCAGCGGAAGACTCATCAAGGAGCCAGCATCGTTAAGCGACGCAAGCTGCTGCTCGAACGAGTCCATGGAGTTCAATTTCTGGTTGCCGTCAACAAGCTGCTGCTCGAAGATACCTTCGCCATTCACGGACAAACTGCTGAGACGTCTCGTCAGGCCTCCGTTGATCCATGAGTCGTCGGGCTCCACATCTGCTGTAATTGAGCGAAGACTAGCACTCTTCGTATCTCCAAGGCTCAACATTTTGTTCAGCATACGGTGAGGAGGACGTCCCATCGGGTTTGCCGTCGGCTTGGCCACCGTCGAGTCTTCCGTAACAGATCGGGCCAGAGGCTGAACTCCTGATTGTGACTCCATTCTCAGAATCGCAGCATCAATATCATCTCCAAGATCGCGCAGGCTCGTGCCGGAAAGCAGGCTCTTGAAGCTCCCATTGCCAAGCGAGTTGTTCGAGTGTCCACGCAAGAATTCGTTCAGTATCATGACGTCCTCCTCGCTCATTCGCTCGTCCGTCTCGTCCTCAAGAGGGGACAGAATTGGCTCCAAATTCACCTGGGTCGTGCTAATGACATTGTTGCTGACTGGCAGTGGCTGGTGTGGCATTTCCATCTTCACAGGATGTGCGGGAGCAACGTACGGCATCTTCGGTCTGACAGGTGACGTCGAAACTGGCGGAGCGTCATCCGTATTCAACAGTCGCGGGCGGCCAAGCTTTGTGTACGTCTTCTGGTTCGGATTCAGAGCCTTCCATCTGAGTTTGACTGCGTCCTCCGTGCGACCCTGCAATCCACAACATCGCCGATTAATAAGACTTGTACTGGCACGTTAAGCCCGAGCTTTGACCACCTACTGGCAGAAGCTCAGCAATCTGCGTCCAACGGTTGCCGTACTTCTCGTACGCCTGCTGGATCGCTTCGTCCTCCTCCTCTGTAAACGGCCTGTCGTCAGTTGAATAGTCTTCTTAGTCAAAGTTCCTCACCACACCGTAAAATAACGCCGACTATAAATCACTTACGATTTGTTAATGCTCGGGTCCAAGCGGTTCCGCCAGCGCTCACGGCACTGCTTCGCCCTGGAGAAAACCAATCACACGTCAGTGAGTCTTCGCACACGCAATAAAAAATCGTGAAGTCACGTACGTTCGCCCCGGGATGTTGTTGGACACCTGGCGCCAGTTGTCGTAGCCCTTGAGCATCATCTCCATGAGCAGCGCGTCCTCCTCCACCGACCACGGGCCCTTGACCAGCCCGGGCTTCAGCACCTTGTTCCAGCGCTGCAGACACTGCGCATTGTCGCGGCCGGGCACACGCTCCGCCACCGCCTACAGCAACAGCCACGTTCGTCAGATACAGCAACTTAAGGCGCCTCCAGCTTATAAGAGCACGAGTGACACACCATCCAGTTGCGGTGGCCCAGCTCGGCCACCGCCTTCTTGAGCGCCTCGTCCTGCTCGGGCGTCCAGCGCTTGCTGACGACGCCGCCGCTCTTCTTCTTCTGGGCCTCCCCCGCCTGGTCCGCGAGCGGCTCGGCGCCCACGGCGTCGCGTCCGCGCTTCCTGCACGCAGAACACACCAACACGTCACCCTCCTGACCATCACTCTGACTTTGTTCTTGCTGACGGTGCGTACACTGCTGACTCGGCCACTATAAAAACATGGGCGAGACGATTATTAATCAGTTAGTTATTAGTGAAGGATAATGGCTGGATCCGTCTTTACGCCAATCAGCGCTGGAGCTGCAGCTGAGGGCGCTACTTACCCATGGTGAAGTGAAGATCAAAGGTCCTCGCGAGCTGTAGGGGTGTCTGTTGCGTCTGTTGCGTCCGAGTTGCTGTGCTGCTGCCGCCGCCTGCGCTGCTTCCTCGCGGGCTTCTCGACGCCTGCGGGGACTTGGACTGAAGAGTGAGACTCGACGGGCGATGGGCTGGGGGCACCAGTTCTGCGGAAAGACAGTGTACCCACGTGTGATTGGCGCAAAAAGAGGCACCTGAGTTCTCATCTCATTCGACGATATTGGATGCAAATGCCTGGATTGGCTGAAAGACAGGTGGGTACATTCATGTGTTACACACAAAGCGCATGTCTTCCGGGTGGCAGGCAACATGGCATCCTCTGAGGAGAACAAACAAACATGCAGTGAGCCCTCCCACCTCCTGCTGGTCATCGTATGGCACATGTAACTCAGCCGTAATAACTCAAACATGCAGCCAGACAACAGGCTTGCCCCTTGTTGCAGCAATTTGGTGCGCTTGACTCAAGACACAGTTTCCTTTGTCGGCTGCAACCTGAAAGTGTGTAGCCGTCGCACAGGATTCTTTCGCGTTGCTCACTGCAAAGCTCCGGCCAACCTCTGAACGCCGATTGATTTATTTCTCCAACAACACGAATCTACCGCCTGCTCCGAATTAGCAGCGGCGCGCTCTCCATTCTCTTGGCTTGTGTCCTGTGTCGTCCTACTCAGCTTATAAAATGAAAATAAAGACGTCGACGGCCCCCACTTCATTCGCACGAGCCGCACAAGCACTTGGTCCGCCCTCGCTTCAAGTTACTGCTTCACCAGCGTCAACACCGTGCAGTATGCTCGCTGCTTACTAATACATCTTGCCCTTCCGAATCGGGCGCATGAGATCCGAGTCCAGCAGGTCGTCAATGTCGTTCGAGATGTTGCCCAGCTCGTACGAAATTCCGTTCGAGTTCCGTCGCGGCTGGGAGCGCACCTGCTCAAAGTCGAGCGAGTGCGTCAAGTTGCGGCTGCTGCTGGTCTCGAAGTTGTGCTGTGAGTACGCGTTCGGGTCCACCGGCAAGCTGGCAATGCGGTCCTCCTCCTGGATCACAGCATCGCCACCAGTCGGCTTCTGTGCACGCCAACTATCAATTAGTCCCTGGAACAGGTGCTTGTCCTCGTGATCCAGGTTTTGTACTGCCTTCTGCAATGTCTCTGGGTTCTTGAACGAGCTGGTTAAACTGTCCATCATGCTGCTCGTGCTAGACAGCCGACCCCTCTCGCCTCTGTCCTTGGATATTGAGACCGTCGCGCGGAACATTTCATCCAGCTCGCCACTTGCAAGAAGATCTTCTGGTGACATGTCCGTGAATGAGCTCAAGCCCCGCGCACTGCCAAAGCTCAGCAAACTGTTTGAGTGACTGCGAAGCAGCTCCTTGAGAATTGCAGCGTCGTTCATCTCATCCTCCGCCTTCACTTCATCGCTCAGCGGCTCCACAATGGGCTCAGGGTACTGGTTCGGCATTGGTACATGTGTCGTGGGCAATGGCTCGTCAGGGTGAGGCATTGCCATTTGCGGAGGGTGAAGAGGCGGCATCGGCATTGGGGTGATTGGTGTGCTGTTGGGTTGGTACGGCATCGGGGCAGGATACGCATTACTGTACGTCGGCATCTCGGGCATCGTAATAGGACCATTCATCAGCGTCGCTGCGACGTCATCAGGAGTCGGAGGTGCTGTCGACCGCTGCTTGTTCACTGTCATACCGGGCATGAGCTTCGGACGACCCGGTTTCGCCCTTACCTTCTGGTTCGGGTTGAGCGCCTTCCATCGCAACTTCACCGCGTCTTCCGTGCGGCCGGGTAGCAACTCTGCGATCTGCGTCCATCGGTTTCCCATCTTTTCGAACCCTTCCTGGATAATCGTGTCTTCTTCCGGCGTGAAAGGGCTTTAACAAGAGCAACAACATCGAATTCGTCATTATTTGCCTCCTCCAGCAGCAGAAAAGATCTTCTGCCCTCAACAATAAACGTACGATTTGTTGATGCTCGGGTCCAGGTGGTTTCTCCATCGTTCACGGCACTGCTTCGCTCTACAGCATTCACCAAATAAAACAGCACCAGCCACAATTGTCAACATAATCCCCCCCTTGCACCTCCAACCTCCACATCCAATGCCGCGTACGTTCTGCCAGGGATGTGCGCGGCCACTTCTCCCCACGAGTGGCAGCCCTGCAGCACCATCTGCTCGAGCGTGCTGTCCTCCTCGAAGGACCAGTGGCCCTTGACCAGCCCGGGCTTGAGCACCTTGTTCCAGCGCTGCAGACACTGCGCGTGGTTGCGGCCGTCCACGCGCGAGGCGATGGCCTTCCAGTTGCGCTGGCCGAACTCCTCCACGGCCTTGCGCAGCGCGTCGTCCTGGTCGGGCGTCCAGCGCTTGCCCTTCTCGTCCTCGCGCGGCTTCTGCGCGTCGCTCGGCACCTCGTGGAACGATCGCAGCGCGTCGTCCGCCGCCTCGCGCTCGCGCTTGCTGCGCGCATGCAAACAGACACACAGAGCCACATACATCCACCCACACAACACTCAGCCGCCGGTTGTTGCAGTTCCAGAGCGGACGAAAGGACCTACACTCCTGGTTCCGCTGCGCAAATGCAACACCAAACAGGTCAAACAAAGCATAACGTTAGCGCTGGAGCTTCCTTCACCGGACGCCACAGGCGCTGGCCGCGCGTACCCATTGTGTGTTGTATGTAGAGAGCTGTCTGTCTGTCTGTCCGCTGGGTACGAGGCTCGAGCGGCCCCTGTTCGTGGCGGCAGACGGAGTGCGAGTGAGGAGGGGGGAAGCTCGCGCCGCCTTCTTCGAGGTGCGCGCTAACTCGCTGTGTGCCGAATTATGGCCCCCCAGATGCCGAGAAAAAAAGTCGTTTCGGCCAATCGCGGCTCGCTCAGGACCCGGAGGCGCGAACTTCAAGGTCGCGGGTGCAGAGGGCGCGCGACAGTGTATACACTTTGGCAAAGTACGAAGTCTTTGCCGGTGCTGTCGTGCACTTGCGAGCAATCCAAGACGCGGGATTGAAGTTGCCCGCGCCGACCAGATCTGCGCGCGGGATGATGTATTAGACATGTCGAGCGCCCGCAGGGCGAAGCTCATGCGGCTTGAGCATCGTGGTGAGATGCAGGGTCTGTCTGTGCATGTTCATTCGTTCGTGTGGGTCCTGGCGAGGGGAGGTTTCGACGATGGATCGTGCTGTACAGTGTACATGTATGTTACGAAAGTTCAGTTTGCCCCAAGCACCAAACGTCAAGAGATTGACGCTTGGTGCTTGGGCAAACCAGACTTAAGTCGGTTGAGCTATGAGCAAAGGTGCAGAGTGTCACGAGCTGTGGCACGACTCACGATAGCTCGCCAACTGTGGTCGCTGCTTCTGTTGCCGAGTTAACTGCGGCAGGTTGTCCACGTAGCAGAGCTTCCCGATCCGCTTGGTCCTCCTGATGCGGACCAAGGCAACTCATTGACGGGCATCCTGTACTGTAGCCGGCGCTTCTGAGGACGCCGGGCGTCGCGGACCGCGAGGCCTCCAATTGGCGGGGGCAACTTCAGAGACCTGTGCATAACCTGTGTGCGTCAGACATGGTTCCTTGCGTGACCGAGTAGCGCGAGACCGCTGGCCGACGGAGGACCAATAACCCCCTCTTTGCCATGCCGTCCAGCGCCATCCCCCGGGCGGCGGACACCGCGTCCAAGAATGTCGTGCAGACTGTCGACGGCCAGAAGATCGTGCGCGTGTGCGACGCCCGGCTGGCCTACGGCGACGTCGTGGGCGACGAGAGTTTGAGTGGGCGGCTGATGAGCGCGGGACCCATTCTGGAGCTGATCGACCGCTTTGCGGGCGCTCTCGCCGAGAAGTACGAAGTCGAGTTGATATTTGGTGCGGTATGCTTTTCATTTAGTTTTTTTTCTGCTGATTGCAGTGTGACTGTGGACCAAGGCATCGCTACAGTCTCCATTGATCGAGTCGACATCAAGAGCCCAATCGCTCACGGAGACCTGCTCCAGTTGGAAGGAGAGGTCATCCACACTGGTCGGTCTTCGATGGTCATTCAGGTGGGTATCGACAAGTTCTTTTGCAGCAGTGCATTTCCCATCTAACCCTTCTGCATGCCGTTAGATGAGCGGCTACCGCTACGACCTGGTCCACGCCAAGTTCATTGAGGTGCTCGACGCGTTCGCAACGTTCGTGGCAATCGACTACAAGACTCTGCGGCCTCGACCTGGTTTGCCCCAGCTCGTGCATCCGACGGATCCGACTTACGTGTCGAGACACGAGGCACTCGCGAACCAGCGCAAGGAACTCGCTGCACGCTGGCGCGAAATGCAGCAGCAAGTAGACGAGTTGCCTCACGTTTCAGCGGACATGATCCAGAGTTTTGGATCCGATCACTCGGAGCTCGTTCCTGTGCGGGACACGGTGCTGAAGATCCAGACGACCTTCCTGCCCAAGAATCTGAACGGCAACAACACCGTTTTCGGTGGTGACGTGCTCGCATTCATGGTAAAGTATGGATTGTGATCGTCTGTCATTGAATGACTGCTGCTTCTGACGGCATTGGTGCTTTGTGTTGTAGGATAAAGTGGCCTTGCAATGCGCGAGAGGCTTCACAAGAAACAGGAACATGACGACGGTGTCCATGAACAGGATATCGTTCAGGTTGCCGATCCACATCAATGACATTGCCACTATGGTGGCGCGTGTTTGCAGCGTTCGGTGAGTAGGGACACAGCGAATGCGTTGATGGAGCGGCAAAACCTGACAGTGATGTTGTGCTTGAAGCGAGTACCATTTGGAAGTCGAGGTCGAGGTGTTTATCTCGCACGTTCGCACGAAAGCTCTTTGTAGGTCCCACACCGGGTGCGTAATCTTCGTTTAGTTTTATCAAGATCCCTCACGCTGTTGCTTATCAGGATATATTAATATCGTTACTGCTGTCTACAGATACTTTACCGTGGTGAATCTCGATCTACTGCATTGCAAAATGCGCATCCAGAGAGGACTTCTGGTGGACGAGTCGGACCAAGGCAGCATGCGAACCATGCTCAAGGCTCAATACCGCTATGCTTTCGACAAAGCCGAGGAAAAATTGCATCCGCTGGATCAGGCACCGGTTGGATCGACTACGCCGATATACGTGGCGCCTGCACTACACAGTCACCTTTAGAGATGCCCACGGCTAGGTAACGCTGTAAGATGGCTTGGTGGCAACAATTTCTGGGTGAAACTATCCGCGATAATGTATCGCATGATGGTGCGTTGGAAACAAGCATCTGAAGAGAGGCTGCTTGTCAATAAAAAAGAATCACTTTTTTATAAATGACTGCCGCAAAATTGAAGAGAACTTATACCCGGTGTGAGACTTTCGGCGTTCTTGAGATGCAAACTACTTAAGGAAAACCTCCAAATGCTCTCTGTAAGCAAGAAAAGCGCCACCAAGCGTGATGAGTCTCTTTACCTGAAAGGAAGTCTTTAGCATAATACCATTTCACTGCAGATAGACTTACCGGGTGTCGCAAACCTGTGCTACCACAATCACAACGCAGCAATGGAAACCGCATCCAGGAAGTTGCGCAGCAGTGCAACGCTCTGTCGTTGCGCTTAAAGAGGATGACCAGTTCCTCACTGTTCCTCCGGACAAACGCATTGCCGTTGGAGGATTCCAATCTTCATAATCACTGCATAATCACCCGAACATCATCCTTAAGGATATCACAACTGGACCCGCTTACATGTAATACAAAGTAAAAGGCCAATGATTGCTGCTCTTCCTGTACTACAGTAGCGTACGGTTCGGTAGTAAGAATGACCGTACGGTTCGGTCACTCTTAGTAAGAATGACCGAACCGTACGGTAGTAAGAATGACCGTACGGTTCGGTCACTCTTAGTAAGAATGACCGAACCGTACGCTACTGTAGTACAGGAAGAGCAGCAATCATTGGAATTTCTTACCGACAGTGCTCATTCACTGCATCGACAACCATTTCTTCTTTTCCACCGGCGAGCAACTCCAGCTCCTCTAATTAAAACATGAGGCGAGCTTGGATGGGATTAGTGACCCTTCTCGCCTTGGTGGCAGCTACTTCTATGACTTCCCAAGATCTCGCACGACCTTCTTTACCGATCGCAATCCCCCATCGACAGCAAGAAGCCTCCAGCGACGTCTTCCCTTCGTTGAAAATCCACGTTAAGATCAAGCGGAAGAAGACAAATTTCCACGGACAATCCGAGTTCGACGTATTCGCGAGCCCCGTCGTGTTGACCGATGCCACCAGCCTTCGGTATGATTGCTACACCACCATCGTCGAAGGTGATACGCAGCTCACGTACTCGCTGGTGGGTGGCGCTAGCTACCTGGTGACCAAGAAAGACGGCGCCAACACTGAAACAGTTCAGTGCCTTCCGTCAGGAGCGCTGTCCTTCGACTTGGTCTTGCCGGCGCTGAACGATGTGGTGCCGATTCCCAGCGCTTTGATAGGCAACGCCAGTGTCGACTGCGCGAGTGACAACCTGTTCAAGACCTCGTATCATGACGCGATTTTCGCCGTCTGCGCTTCGGGTTCGTCCGGGTTCACCGCGACGGGCCTCGACTTGACACTTGACGTGGAGTACCTGCAGAATCCCGTCAGCATTTCGGTGCCAAAGCTCACCGATGGGTCACCACCGTGTGATAGTGTAGCAATGCCCACAAAAGTGGCGCCGACAACACGCGCGATACTCACTGGCAGCTCACTTCCCACGGCTACATCGAGGCGCTTGAAAGCATCTGCTCCCATGGCTATTGAGGCCAAATCGTGTACGTGTAAGTCCATACCTCGTCCCTGCGTCTTCTTGCATGGTCTGGGTACCTCGAATGAAAGAGCGGAGCTGCAAGATACTCCAAAGTTGACCCAGGAGAAGTTCGGTAACATCGGAGACCACGCTCCGTGCTGCACCAGTGTCAAGTACGCAGTCATTAATACCGTCGACGCTGGGTGGAGGAATGACACACTGCAGCAGAAGTTCTGTGACTTCTCGCTCTCCATGAGCGAGTCTAGCGACGTGGCCACGGGGACCATTGCGGATACTATCGTGGTGACGCACTCGATGGGCGGCCTCGTGATGGCGGCAGCTCTCGCGAAAGGCAAGTTTAAATTCGCGGAAAGCACGTCGTGGGTCAGTCTGAGCGCTCCGATGATGGGAAGTATGGCCGGAGACTTCATACGAGACCTGTGCGACGGTGAATTCACGAAAATTGTCGCCGGGGTGCTGGATCTAATCGGCCAATGCCCCGCGTCCACGGCGAAAAAGTCGATCATTTACCAGAACGAGAAGTACAGCACCCCGGAAATCAACGCGGCGTACACTGCAGCCCAGGAAGCCTACCGCGGGAATGTGACAGCCGCGATCTGCAGTACGAGCTACCACGGCGTCTTGTCCAAGTTCACGCCGTCCTGCCTAGTTGGAGGCAAGCTGATCCCGCACAAGTCGAAACAAAACGACGCGCTCGTGGAGTTCCAGAGCGGCTTGGGCGGCCTCGACCCGAATCTGTTTGGCGACAGCTACCTCGACCGCTTTTACGCATCCAAGCTGAATCACGCCGACACGGCATCTCTGACGCACGATGGATTCTTCAGAGACTCGCAAAAGCCCTTCAAGTGGTTCGAGTGTCTGCTCTAGCGTATCACCACCGAGTATCGGTACAGTAATTTTAAGCGTGGTGAGCAGAAATATAAAGATATCGCTTTGCCCACGGTTAATAACTTCTCCAGAATCGTAAGATACTCATTCTTTCTGCCAAAGTCCACCGATTGTCTTCTACGATTCTTTAGTTTCTGCTCCCTTCACTCGGTCCTCCACACATCCAAGTGGAATTTTCTTCTCCAAATACGGAAAGACCCACTTTGCGCTCACAGCCAGCAGCATCACCAGCCAGCCGATGAGCACCAGTGTGTCTCTGGGGAATGCCTCCAGCAGCATCTCCTCCACCACAATGTCGAACACACACTCGTCAACCTTCAGCTTCGAGTCGGGTCGTCGGACTCCCTCCACATTTGCAATAAGTGAAAATTCCACTTCAATGGCCGCCCCCGAGGGCTCGAGACGGTACCGCACCGACTTGTGCGTCTCCATCTCCCTCGGGTGGAGCCGAAGCTTGGCCGTGTTCAATACCCGACGTCGAGCTGGCATGATCTTGCTTTTCTTGACATTTCCCGCAATATTTGCAGTACTAACGTCAAATTTATCTTCACTCACCACAGGCAGCGGCAGCAGGACCTGCTCCACCTGCAGCGAGAAGAGCGACGGCTGCGTCGCTGGGTACGACACTTTGATGTCGTAAACTTTGTCAGGTTCGAGATCCAACACGCGGTACAGCTGCGGCTCGCCGTACAGTACGCGCTGGGACTGCAGCGGCGACTCCGGACGCAGCTCGACGACGGAAGCAGCGTGTGGGGACGGCGAAGGGGACGCCGTCATCGCCAGGAAGAACAAGGTGGCGAGCAGCGGCAGCAACATAGCGTTACAGATGCGAATTTCTAAGTGGGTTTGTTGTTACAGGTACTGTTTCTAACTGATATCAATTTCTAATGCATACCATCAAAATCCCAATTTTGGGATTTTCAAGTATTGCAGTAGCAAACTCCTGTCTATCTCAGGTGAAGTGCCAATATCCTGCAGCAGACACTCGAACGGACGGCGTGAACTTGGACAAGACGCCGTGGTAGCTCGTACTGCAGATCGCGGCTGTCACATTCCCGCGGTAGGCTTCCTGGGCTGCAGTGTACGCCGCGTTGATTTCCGGGGTGCTGTACTTCTCGTTCTGGTAAATGATCGACTTTTTCGCCGTGGACGCGGGGCATTGGCCGATTAGATCCAGCACCCCGGCGACAATTTTCGTGAATTCACCGTCGCACAGGTCTCGTATGAAGTCTCCGGCCATACTTCCCATCATCGGAGCGCTCAGACTGACCCACGACGTGCTTTCGGCGAATTTACACTTGCCTTTCGCGAGAGCTGCCGCCATCACGAGGCCGCCCATCGAGTGCGTCACCACGATAGTATCCGCAATGGTCCCCGTGGCCACGTCGCTAGACTCGCTCATGGAGAGCGAGAAGTCACAGAACTTCTGCTGCAGTGTGTCATTCCTCCACCCAGCGTCGACGGTATTAATGACTGCGTACTTGACACTGGTGCAGCACGGAGCGTGGTCTCCGATGATACCGAACTTCTCCTGGGTCAACTTTGGAGTATCTTGCAGCTCCGCTCTTTCATTCGAGGTACCCAGACCATGCAAGAAGACGCAGGGACGAGGTATTGACTTACACGTACACGATTTGGCCTCAATAGCCATGGGAGCAGATGCTTTCAAGCGCCTCGATGTAGCCGTGGGAAGTGAGCTGCCAGTGAGTATCGCGCGTGTTGTCGGCGCCACTTTTGTGGGCATTGCTACACTATCACACGGTGGTGACCCATCGGTGAGCTTTGGCACCGAAATGCTGACGGGATTCTGCAGGTACTCCACGTCAAGTGTCAAGTCGAGGCCCGTCGCGGTGAACCCGGACGAACCCGAAGCGCAGACGGCGAAAATCGCGTCATGATACGAGGTCTTGAACAGGTTGTCACTCGCGCAGTCGACACTGGCGTTGCCTATCAAAGCGCTGGGAATCGGCACCACATCGTTCAGCGCCGGCAAGACCGAGTCGAGCGACAGCGCTCTGTCGCGAGTCGCTTTGTCGGACCGGTTTGGGGCCGATCGCCGCTGTGAGTAAGTGCTGCCTGTGCTTATAGGTTTATGGGGCACAAATAGCAAGGAGATCACTAAGCAAAATGCAATAAGTGTTCCATACGACCTGTGTGGTCCTTTTAAACAAAATTCACGACTGACCTTCCTTCTACTCCTAACTTTCCTCTCAAAGCCACCCAACATGCCATCCGTCCCCGAAGTCCCGCCACGACACTGCGAGGCACATCATCCCTCCAAGATACCTCTGGGTAGCGGCCCACGGGTCTCCACCTTCGAGACAACCCGGCCCACGGCCCACTACTTCTCGCCCGCGGCCACAGCAGGTGGACGACCTCAGGCACTCATCGTCGCCCACGCAGAGTTGGAACGGTCCGAGCCGTTCCGACTCGGGACATCCTCCCCGACTGCATCTCGGCGTCCTCGCCGAGCGCACGCAGCTTGATCCACTTCTCTCCTTACTTGCCAGGCCCTCCGTTCGGCCTGCAATCCACTTCGCGTCCACACCTACACTCTCGGCGCATTGCCCCCGCCGTCCATCCTCCAAAATGCCTCACTTAGACGCTCTGCCTGCTCTTGCTCCTCAAGAGCCGCGCACCACGCAGCGTAGCCCTCCGTGGCCATAGTCAGCGGCGAACGCTCGCCCACCGACGCCTCGTACTACCTCCACAACTTACTGGTTATGCATACCAGCGCAACCCAAACATTCACCACCAGCAACCAGTAGTTAGTCACTATTGCATGCTCGCCCTCCTCGGAGGCGAACCAGCAATCAAAGACCACGACTACAGCGAACACGCCGGCCACGCCCTGGCAGATCCACTCGACGACTTCGTAGGTGAACAGCACGGCGTAGAACGCCGAGAACAGGATCAGGGACGTCAGCGTCCATACCACCTTGGCGACAAGCTTGGCACGGGCGACCGAACGGCCAGACTCCAGACTCGCGCCCGTGCAGTACTTGGAGCAAGCCTTCCGTCCCGACGCCCAAGTCTCAGGCAAGAAGACGCACCACCACTCGTGGAGGGCGTCAAGCCACTTGTAGAGCAACCTCCCCAGCCCGTCTTCATGCTCGCCCTTGGATTCCAGCACAACCAACGGGGTGGCCAGCAGGGCCTCGTAACACTTCCACACGCGAGTTCGGAGCGGCTGCATTTGCACGGCAGGCCCACGGACATACCTGCAGTAGCGCATGACGCATAACTTGGCCAGCACGCTCCACCTCAGGGCGAAGTCGACGAACGCAGCGGCGATCCGTGAGCCGATGCTTCGCAGGGGGCCCGTAACCGTCCACGACACTGCTCCAGCAGTGAGCCACGCCAGCTCCCAGCGACGCTCCGCTGCAACTTGACAAGCTGCCTCAGCAGCGACCACCACTATTGCCGCCAGGCCGTTCACCACGTCCGTCGCCCACTCCATCGTTCCAGCAGCACTAATTCATAATGACGGCCACTTCGACGCCGTCCGAGCCGTCCGGACCCCACTAGCGGCAGCCCTTGGCGGTCACCATCGACCTGCAGAGGCGCAGGGCAGCCAAGGCCCCGTTACTGCCAGTTGGTCACCAGCGTCGCTCGCGGGTTCTTCGAAAGTGACCAGCCAGTTGGGCGTCTCTCTCAGACGGTCACAGCCACCCACAAGGTGAGTCACATTTCGTCAATTCACTTGAAGTCACGTGGTAATCAGAAGTTGCCGTAGCCGCCCCACTGAAAGTTGCCTCATTCCGCAATTTTCGCCGGGCCGCGCACTCCGCAGTCACCAAGAATCTCTCCGCTCTCTCCCAGGCCTCGCCTCGCCTCGCGTCCGTCATGGTCAAGAAGACCAACTCCGACGTCACCGACTTCGATAACCAGGTGGGCAGCCTGGACATGGCCCTCGAGCTCGACGACGAGGGGGACGTCTTCATCGCGCAGCGCGAGTTTTGGGCGCGCCTCCGGACCCGTCTCTCCGTCAACAATGCGTCCCAGGGGCTAGACGTCCTGGACGCCATGGCCATGGACGTCCTGTCGGGTGGCGACGCACGCCGCCTGAACCAGATCCTCGTGATCCTGCCGCACCCCGACCAGATGCAGGCCGGCGAGCCTGCCGAGCACTCCGTCCTGTCGATCCCGCTGCCGCCGTTGGTGCCCACGCCAGAGTCGACGTCACCGCCACCGCGTCCATCGACAGGGACCAGATCGTCGCCACGGACGTCTTCCAAGACGAGACCGCCATCGTAGAAGAAACAGAAGGCCGCGGCCAAGAAGAAGGCCGAGGCCTACGACTTCCGGTTGCCGACGACGGCGCCCGCGCGACTGAAGATCGACCTGGCCGCACTTGCGCAGCGCGCCTTCAGCAAGGGCATCGCTCCGTTCCGCTTGGCGTACCCCTGGCGCAAACAGCGGTGCTGGTACCCGCCATCCGAGTATCCCGAGTTGCACCTCGTGCCAACATGCGCTTCCGCGAGCTGTTTTTCCTGTGGGCGCTGTACGCGCCTTGTCTGAATGCCGACCAGCGGCGCAAGGAGAAAATGAATGCGTGTCGAGCGCGGAACGAGCTCATTAGCTACAACATCGAGGAGCGAGGGTACTTCGGCTTTCTCGACGACTTCGAGAACGGTGCTCATGACACGCTCATGTGGTTGGGAGGCAGAACGGCCAAGCACTCTGCCGGCGCGGCTAAGAGCAAGGGCGCGGCGCACGAGGACCTCGGCGTTGTCTTCGCAAAGGACAAGATTCTCTACGAGCGGGCCATCGAGCGAGCTCTCGACCCCAAGATCGTCGACGAACACGGCTACGCCTCGATTCTGGAGCTCCTCGAGGAGGCGGAGCTCATCGACCCCACGCAAGCGCCACACCTGCGAGTCTCCGACAAGGCCCTCGCTCGCATCAAGCTCGACGTCACCAGCGGGCCACCCCCCGTGGGCAACCGAACCCGCGGCCCGTGGAAGGCCCTCTCGTCGGACGCGTCGCTCAAAGATACCATCGAGGAGGTGGTCGAGCTACTGGACTTGGGCATGAAGGTGGCCGTGTACGACCAGAAGCCCTTCAACCCCGACGAGCAGGGCGACGATGACTCGGACTTCGAGGACGAGGACGGAGCCTTCACGGCGTTGCCTCCGACGCCCCCCCGTGCAGTACCGGGCTCCCGCCGTCAAACACTCCGTCCAAGCCAGGATTTCCGGTTTCTCGCTCCAGCAAGTCAGGCGAGTCCGAAGACTCCAGCGACGACAAGAAGAAGCCGGCGGCCAAGGACGACAGCGACAAGGACGACAAGGCCCAACCCAAGACCACCAAGGCCCCCGTCGCGGCCATAGAGACGCTGCCGGGCGACGAAGCAGACGACGACGGCGAGGTAGCGAGCGAGCCTCCGACCAAGAAGCTCAAGTCGCATTCCGCAAGCGTCGACAAGGCCAAGTGAGTCATGCGCACACCTCGGATCTCCATTTATCTTCTTCATTTGTTGTAGTCGAGTCTAGTGCAGCCGCAGCACTAATTTTGCAGGTAAAACCAAATAAAAACATGAACTTGACATGCATATCCACCATTCTTGAGCTGCTCGTAAATCCATATCCACAATCACAGGTTCTTCAGCTCAAGAACATCATCAACTACGCCAGCAGCAACTAGTCATCATCGACTTGGGCGTTAGCGTCCGCCAAACGCGCACTTCGACTAAGCTCCGGCAACCCCTTCTTCCTCCTATCCGCTTGCTCAAAAGTGGTCACCAACGACGCATACTCGGGCATCAAAGCCTCCCTGGGCAGCCAGAACACCTCATACGAGCTGGTCATCGTCAGGTACTTCACGCCCTGACCGTCCTTCATCTTCGCCACTATTCCACGATGGGGGCTTCCACGCCCACAATAACAGTGTCCTCATTTCCTAGTGTCAACCGTTCCGCGTAGCTCGACGCAGGGAGGTCGGCCTCTTCCAACGGCCTCTCTTCTTCGTTTTCATCACTAGTGCCCAGACCCTCGGGCACTTCATCCATATAAGGCCGGGTCCACTTGCCACGATACCTTTTGAGCCTATTCACGTTCACGGTCACCGTTTTGTTAGGGTGAGTCGGGATGTCGACCCGATAAGCGTTCTCGCCGACCTTGGCTACGATCCGATAGGGACCGTGCCAAGCGAAGGCAAGCTTCTTCGTGCGCACTTCGCCGCGTTTCGCCCTGAACACCTGGTAGACCCACACCGGGTCTCCTATTTCATAATTCACTTCGACTTGCCCTTCCGGGCGCTGCTCGTGCCGATCTTGCGCCTTCAACAACTGACGCTCAACCAAATGTCGCGAGGAACGGAGAGCTGTACAGCTCTCGCCTATACTGAGCCACTTCATTACTCCGCCACTTCTTGCCAAGATTGAGGAAGGCCACGTCCGTCGGAAGCACTGGGTCGCGCCCGTACAGCGAGAAAAACGGCGAATCTCCCAGGGCCTCGTGGTAGGCCGTCCTGTAGGCAAAAAGCACTCTAGGAAGGTAAATATCCTAATCATCTTGAGCCTCACTCACATGCATTCGTAGCATTCCTATGAGCGTTCCGTTGAATCTCTCGACGAGTCCTTGAGTCTGAGGGTGGTAGGCAGCACCAAAGAGTTTCTTAATGCCCAACATCTGATAGAAGGACTTGGCCACCTCAAAGGTGAAGTTCGAGCCGTTGTCGCTCAGCAACCGCGACGGCACTCCGTGCCGAGACACCACTCCGTTCACCATCACCTCCACGAACGTCATGGAGTCCAAGCGCTCCACGGCGAACGCCTCGGCCCGGCGAGTGAAGTAATCAACGAAAACTAAAATATAGCGATTGCCACGCTCGGTTTCGGGCAGAGGCCCCACGGCGTCCACCACGAGCAACGAGAACGGCCCCGTCAGATCCACGATGGGCATCCTCTGCATTCGACCAGCGCGCCACGGACGCGCACCCTTGCCACTTCCGCACTTATCACATTCGCGCAAATACTCCTCCACGTCCTGTCGCCACCCTGGCCAGTACGCGTGTCGCCTCACCTTCTCGAGCGTCTTCGTGAGGCCGAGGTGCGACGACAGTAGATCAGCGTGACAAAAATGTAAGACTGTTTCAACGAACGGAAGCGGTATCACGGGCACGGTCAGCGATCGAGCGGGACCGACGCGCGCGCGGAGATTCACTCTGCGCATCAACAGCTCGTTCTCGACGGCGAACTTGGACGCGATCCTCACAACCTTCACTCGTAAGCTAGGGTCCAGCGGCAGCGTTCCACCCGTCAGGAACGCGATCAGGGCCATCACCCACGGGATCTTCCGCTGCTCCACCTTCAACTGCTCCATATCGAGTCCGAACAAGTCCACGGACGACGGAGGGACGTCCGTCGGCGAGGAATCGTCCTCAGTAGCGTCTTCCGGCAACGG